ATATATATATATATATATATATATATATATGAAAGGATGAATATATATGAGACACAGAAATAGTATTGTTATCAGTGGCGGCTGGTCAATAAAGGGCGCCGACCTTTTCCTCCCTAGTGGAAAGTGTTTTGTTTTTCAAATAATGAAATAAATAAAATGAAATGTCACTAATCATCAGAATGTAACTTTAATGTACAATAATGTGTTTTAAACCGTAGGAATACATTCTCTGAGTATGGCGTTATTTTTATCTCTTGTCCTGGGTGGCAGATTACGTCACTTCCGCCGCCTAAAACCCAGGAGCTAATGGTACATTAGCAAAACAAACGCAATTTGTTTGTGTGCAAAAGGTGCACGTTCCCCTCAACTGTTTCAATTGTATTGTTTACTCTCAGTACAGCACCACTTTCCGAACAGGAAATGCACGCTAATACAAAATAAAATCGCAATGACACTTATTATATATATATATATATTTTTTTTTATATAAATAAATAACGATATCTTGTATAGTTACACCCGCTAGACAACAGTGGCGGGTTCGACAAACAACCGTGTTGGCCGGGTGCACCGCGGCGGAGGTGGGGAGGTTCCAGCCCTGAACCTCTACCCCGCTGCGGGACCCGTGGTGGGACCCGTCAGACCGTGCGTCGTCGGCCGGCCGGGAAGGAAGAGACACGCAAAGTGGGGGAAGTCCCCCACCCCAACGCAGCACACCCTCCCGGTCATCAGAGTCGAACCCGCAGTTCGGAAGAACCAACCGCCAGAGCAGCAGAACTAGGCCGTGGGCATGGTGGGTCGCGTTTGCCATTCGATCACAGAGCGGAGAGGAGAAAAATGCAACAAAACATGTCAAAATCTGTTAATATATGGATGAGTGGGAGGGGGGGCTGGACACTGGCCGTGGGGGGACACCCGGACCGGGCAGTGTCCCAGTTAGAAGGAACCGGGTGAAATAGCCAACAAAATAAAAATGAATAGAACCGGGGAAAATGTGAAAAAAAGTGTCCGAAAATAGGCACTCGTGAGGCGGGGAGAGTCCCCTGTCAACTCCCGTTACATTCCTCCATGGTATCATTTGAGCGAAAAATGGCTTTTACGAGAACCAGGCTGGGGGGGTCAAAAGGGCTTGACCAAGGCCGACCCAAAGTGCATGGTGAGCGGACTCATCACCTCCGTGATGAGTCCTTCGGGGGGCCGGGAAAAAAAACGTGTTCAGGATCGTCACTTCCTGTACTGCAGGAATCTTCAATAGCCGCGTTCACACCGGAACATCAGCCGTTAGCTGTTAGCACTCAGAGCTCACAGCTCCTCATATTTGTTCAGAAACTAGACAAAAGTGAAACAAGTACAAAACGCAGACTTGTCAAAGCATTAATTCATGGTTTTTACTAACCGGTATCAGTATGTTGTTACGGGCCGGGTCAAACCAAACTGTGCTAAGTGCTGCACTGGAAAAGCGCCAACAGTGAATCCATCGAGGCAAACACACAGACACACTTACCTTTTAAATCGCGCTGTTCATATTTAATTGGAAATATAATATTCCTTGACCACTTTGTCCTTCTCTAGGCTGCAGTGAAACTGACCGCATCACGTAGCGTCGCACATACTGTTGAGTATTTCTTTTGTCGAGCTGGAGCCATGAACACCCCCCTCTCCCGAAATAAAAAACTATTCAAATTTTTAAAAGTGCGCCATAGTTTCCATTATAAACGGCGAATGTTGTCGTAGCCGACAACTTTGAAGCTTCAAATAAGCCATTAAAAAAAATATATTATATCTGATGTGTGCAACTTGCATGAAACCGGGCTAAGTTTGCTAGCACGATAATGAGCTAGTTAACCAGCTAATGTTAGCTAACTTAGCCTTACATTTTTAATAACCAAATACTGACTTCAGCTGACAAGCTAATAGGAATATAACAAGTTAACCAAGCACATAAACATACTCACATGACTCCACATCGATGAATATTCAAATGAAATGGTCGACCAAGCAGTCTTCAAGTTCCACTCAAATGTCAACCTTCTGAGTAGACTGTCCGTGCATGTCTGCGGGGGCAACGTGCGGGAAATACTCTCCTATGACGTCACCCACAGTTAACTTGCATTTCCCATGTACATTTTAATAGCTTTAACAGGTTGTACAGTCAATACAATAATTTAGGTAATATTTACTTGGTGCTATTGTTAAAATTCACTTATCAAAATGAAGATTCAAAATTACATAGAAACACAAGTAACACATTAAATAAAAGGAGACATTTGGAGTAAAATTACTGAAATACTAATGTATTGTAGAATTTAAACATATAATCAAAGTAATATTTACAAAGCCAAAAAGTCCTTTTTTTCAGTGTACTCTAAGTCATTTTCATTGTAATTCTTCATTTTGAGCATACATAAGGACGACCCCATACGTCATTCTCAGTCATTTTATGATTTTCACGATTTTCACACGTTACCATATGACTTGGGTTTATTGCTCAAATAATAATAATAAGGGAACAGAACATTTACAAACAAACTTGTATAAAATAATGTGTTACACCATTTTTTATTTTTTTGCTTTTTACTGATAATAGAGCTATCTTTTTAACGCCAATATTTTTTTAAATAATATGAAGACCTCTTTCATGGCCACCTTGCCTTCCAATAACTGATGTTGTTTTTTTAATTTCCGTCTCATTTTCAGCTAGGGCTGGGAAATATTTCAAAATTGTGATATAAAACTAGATATCGTCTTGGATTTTCGATATCGTGATAAAAGTGTTTTCTTATCCTGGTTCTAAAGGCTGCTTTATGTTAGGTGCTGTTTTTTGAAGTAACCAGATTGACTAGCTTTTGTATTATTTGTGCTTTACCCATTTTGTGAAAGCACCAATAATGTTTATCCTACAATATTGTTGCAATATTGATATATTAAGATATGTTCCCATGATATTTGATTTTCTCCTTATTGCCCACCCCTATTGTCAGCCATCAAATAATGCTGGGCCTTACCGACCTGTCCGATCTGTGCTCTCCTAGAGAAACAGAGATACGGTGTCTCTCTTCTTCCCTCCGCCCTTGAGTCCAGGTAATCTATTTGTCACATTATCTCGTACTCCCGCTGTCCCGACGCAGCACATCCAGCAGTCAGCGTCGACCTGTTGGCTCACATTTCCTTCCTGTTTACCAGTCGCTTCTCATGACCTGCTGGGGTCACAGCTCCATTGTGTATCCCCTGGCTTGTGTTTCCTACTGGCTTCCCCAACCTTGTCCCACTTTCAGTCTCCCATACCCCCCACCCCCACTCCTGTTCTCACCCTTCCAGAGAGACGGCCAGAAACTGATAGCAGCAGATATGGGTACATGATGATCTGATAAGTGTTGTGTCTCTCTGCATGTCCAGTGTTTTGTCTTGATAGACAAAACCTTGTCTGAAAATGTGTTTAAATGACATGCTCTAAAATGCATATGCATGGGAAAGCAAACTGCAGGCATTATTCAGGCTTATCATTAAAGTCAGTTTTTTGGTTTACTTCACAAATTCTTAATACGGATTTACAATACTAATCTCTGCAGGGGTCTCTCTTATTTTGGTCTTTGCTCTTACTACTGCAAGTTACTTACTACTAATTGTAACTTGCATGATCTCAAAAGCTTGTTTCGCTTTATCTTATATGTTTTATTTTGAACATTAAGATTTGTCCTTCATTGAGGTCTACACTGATAATGCCCAGGAGGTAACTTATTTGAACATGTTAAATTGCTAATAAATCTATATGGCTTCATGACAGTATCACTTATTAATGAAATGTGTTATATGTTAGGACAAACACAGGCAGTGTGTGTCCTGCTGAAGAAGGAACACTCTGAAACCCTCTCTGATTATTATTTACAGCACACCCTCTGAATCTAGCAGCAGCATCCTACACTTGTGATCCTGACCTCATGCTAATACCAGGCTATGACCCACAGCTGTGAGTGGCAGGTGTGTGCTGTAAACACCAGGTTCCCCCTGTAATATAAAGGTAATTGAAATGATACTTAGGTGGTGCCACCAGCAGAGCGTGTGTTGCTCTGTATTTTAGAGCCTCTAGTTGGTGCGTAATAGGGTAAAGCAGTTGTTAATTTTGATCCCATGAATCCTGTAAATGTAGTGCATAAAAACGATATGCTATTTACAGTCTCTTGGAGGGAGGAAGCCAAGCTGTAAGAGCGTCAGTCTTTTGTCTGAGAGTTTTGGTTATAATGATTGACTCTTTAATATATGCTAAGCAAGCTCTCCTGCACAAGAAAACATGGCAAAGGAGTTCATGTAAGGCTAGCATCCTTAGCATTTTAGAATTTGCATCTTCTTTTGCACACAATCCCTGATGTGCGTGTATTTGGGATGATGTGTTTGCATGGATGGCGGTCTGATCTTATATTTGATTTTTGCAAATGCATTGGTTTTTGTGTGACCTGTCTGGGTGTGTCTATGTGCTGCACCAAGGTTCAGATGGGTTTATTTACAAAGCTGAGGTCAGGTGTCACTCGATCCAGCCGCGAAGACACTCAGGTGGTCATCAAGGTCACCTCCTTTGCTTTTTCCCTGCGCTAGCTCTGAATCTATAACCTCCCATACACACACAAAAACCACACCGAAACACACCTGTAATGTATACACCCCAATCAGAAAGCCTGTGTGTTCAGGACACTTCTCATATACCTTACACTGTCTGACATTCAGCCCCATTTAACACTGTGTTAGATAAGTAAAGATTCAAGGACACTACAAAAATGTAAAGAAAACCATGTGTTTGTCTTGTGCAAAGGCACATCTGAACGATTATGTTTATGGATTTCCACTTCCTATTGGTTACTAAAACCATCTTGTGTATATGACACATTTCAACACTCCCTTCATAACCAGATTGCATTTTTTTCATGCCACCCTGTGTGATCTGAGTATAAGACAGAAACATGCAAATATGTACACTTAATTCAAAATAACAAAGACCAGCCACAGGATTTGGATTTTATTATTTTTATTTTCTCAGTAATTTGGGAGTTTTTTTATACATTTGGGAAATATAGCTTTATGATCTGTCTAAAACATAGGAAAAAGACACACAAAAAAAAAAATCATGACGTGAATGTAGATGTCTATGGACCAGAGTAAGTCTTGCAAGAAAGAAAATAAAGAAATTAAACAAAAGAAAATATCTAACAGTATGGAAATTGATTGACTAAAACTAAGAGAGCCCTTGAAGCAGTGGGGATGGGGGGGGGGGAGGTTAGGGGGTCAGATCAGGTTGGAGAGATGGAGTCCAGCTGTTTAGGACAAAACCATGGCCTGGAACTCTGTGGAGAAAAGCAACAGCAATAATGAGATTATAGTGTGTCACCTGTCCGACACCTGCCTCAGTGTTACTCTAAAATGTGAGTATTTTATACCAAAAAACGATATGAACCCAAAGAGAGAAAGAGAGCGAGCAAGTCTCAAGAGAGCGAGCATGTCTCAAGTTTACAGCATGTCATTGAAACAATTTTGTCTAACCAATTGATCTCATTGACAAATCTAATATCCCAAAGGCTCGATAGAAACATTTTGCAGGTGTCAGTTTTGAGATCCTAGGACAGAACAAGTGTAAGGGTACATAGCGGGTGTCACTATGATTGCTGCTCATCTTACTTCAGTGATAGCCTTTATAACTGTGTCTCTTTCCTGAACAACAAGACTACTTTAGGAATATGACACATTTAGTGAATCTGCATTCTAATGTAGTATCTAATAAATGTGCAGAATTGTTCCTCAGCATCATTGTTTTGTAATTACACACAAACATACTTGTCTTGTATTATGTGTATATGAAATTATTGGACATCCGCTCACCATCTGCTCCAATGCGGCCGTCACTGTCATCATCAGCAGCGCTCAGGAAGCCCTTGGTCTCCTTGTCAGTCAGAACGCGAGCCCCTGGGGAAAACCTCTGGAGGAAAAACCTGTCGTACAGAGAAAGACAAAGAAAACCTCAAGTTAGAGAGAACCGCTGGATGATGTGTTGTGAACACAACTGCAATGGGCCACATGTACAGTCCCCGTCCCATGTCATCCTGAAAGTTGGATAAACTAACGATGGACAGACTTCCCATTCGCTGCATCCCTTCTTGTGAAATAATGCAGAAAACTGAATGGAAATCTGATAATGTTCCAAAAAGACTTCAAACTATCCCGCTGTGAAGATACTAAAGTTCCTGGGCACCAAATAAATCGTAGTTTGTAGTTAGTAAACTGGCAGCTCACTCACTTGAGCTCTTCCTCCTCAACAAAACCATTGCCATCATTGTCCAGGATCCCGAAAACCTTCTTCACGTCCGCAGGGCTCTTCTTGGTGAGCCCACACAGCGTGAAGAACTTCTTGGGACAGAAGGAGTCTGGTGCTGGGGGAAATAAAGAAAGTAAAGTCAGGAACAGCATCATGAAAAAACACTTGACTAAAAGGAAATCATTAGCAAAAGCTTGTTTATTTTCCTTTAATAACATTACTTTTACAATTGGTCTTTTCTGTATTTGGATATTAGTTATTCTTCCTGTTTATCTATGTCTTAATTTAATGTCCTAGTGATTTCCACATTTGCACAATTGTAAGACAAATGAAAATGAGGATGTTCTCAGTTATAAAAAAATAAAATGTTTCTCATTAAAGAAGAAAACAGGCATGGCATTATTAAGTGGTGTAATGCACCTAACCTTGAAGAAAGGGCACAACATAGGAAGAAGGTATTTGTTTTTTTATTTAAGGGTTTGAGAGGCCAGTTTTTCTTGATCTCTGACCTCCAGTGACACCAACAGTATCATATCTGTTATAGCTTTAATTAACACGTTCTGCCAATTCATCCTGTTAAAATCACCTCAGATTGTTTGATTACTGTACTGATCTGCATACATGTATCTTTAACTGTTCATGTGTGTCTGTCTTCCGGCTTTCACAGAAAGAAATAACCCTATTGTCTGGCTCCAGTACAACGACTGTATAAAATTAAAAAAACAAAGAGAGAAAGATCTAACAAAGAGAATAATGATATTGGTGGAAGACGATACCTTGGCAGTCCTTGATAGCACTGTCGATGGCATCAGCGGAAAGGATAGATGAGAGCGACATTTTATTCCTGTAGGAGGAACCACCATGTTGAATTATTAACACATTAAGCCCAGTCACAGCAGCAAACTCTCAAACTTGACACTGATGGAGAACGAAATGTGTGCAGGTGACAATGACACTGAAAGGTTACTGCAGCGACCGGCCATGAATCTCAATAAGTTCCCTTTTTAAAGTATTATTTGGAAAAGAAAGGATATTGTCTAATCCAACCGACTGAAAATAATAGACAACTTTTCCTTTGTCTTTTGTCACCTTATACGCAAATAAGTCTCCCCTTTTACGCACGGAATTACTGCACATCTGACTAGGAAGCAATTAATGTGCTCTAAATGTACAGTAGCGAACCTTTCCTTAAGAAAAAGTTTTAAAACAAAAAAGAAATTAGCCACTTTCCATCAGAAGCGACCTTTTTCCGAGTCCACACTTACCTTGTTTCGGTGGTTTTCTCCCGTTCGGTGATCCAGCAGAGAGGTAAGGCTGTGGTGACTGCTGTCCGTCAAGGCGGATTTATATAGGTCTGATTGCAGTGACAAAGGGGATTGCTTGAGTTACCTGTCTATGGATCAAATTCTAACTGCCCGCCCCTGATCCAATTTCTCAGCTAACTAATTAACCTTTACTATTTATAACGCCCAGGGCAGGGAGACCGGACCGTGGACATTTGTAGCGCCCTTGTAAATAGCAAATTACGTTAAAAAGAGCGTTCTTCTCCCCTTTCACCACTCCCTCCTCCTGTCATCCCCGCCCCCCTCCTCCTCTCACCTTTACAATTGTACAGTAGGCTACAGTAAATGCAGGGAGGATACTGCAATCTCTCTCTCCTTTTTCTCCCTCTCTTGCTGTTTCTGCAACCCCCCTCCTCCTCCTCACCCCACCCTTATCCTTTCATGCAGATATCCTTTTACAGGCAGCAGTCCTAAAACGAGCACATCTCTGAGCCATGCACATCCCACTGAAAGCGTGCCCCCGCTATCATTACATTTGAGTTGAGTGAATGTGGGTTAGGGTTAAATGTCAGCTGACAATGCACTTTTCATTGCATATTTGTTTGCAATTTTAATTTGAGATTATTGAGACACCTGAGACTGAGAGGTCAGCCCATGGACATCCTCTTGTCTGGCACTCTGTGGTGCTTCACCTGTCCACAAATGCCTTGGACATTAAACATCTACCTGCCCTTGTTCGGACGCTGTTTTACAACAGATTTAACGGTTTAAGATGATATATTTCCAAATCTGAAATAACCCTAAACCAGAGGTTGGAGAAGTACTCAGATCTTGTACTTGAGTAAAGTAGTAGTCTAGTGTAGGAATACTCTGTTACAAGTAAAAGTCCTGCAAACAAGTACAAGTACAAAACTGTTAGCATCAAAACATACTAAAAGTATCATAAGTAAAAGTACTCATTATGCAAATAGCCCATTTCAGAATAATATCTATGTTTTTATTATAATTATTGATGCATTAAAGTGTTATCAAAGCTGCTAAAGTTGCAGCTAATTTGTATTCCTTTGTTTACTGCAGGGTAGCATGTGAATTTACTCCAGGTGTAACTAAAGTCTTATTTAAGTGTTGATTATATTTCATGTTATTAAACAAAATGTGTAAAGTTGCATACAATGAAAATACTCAAAATGGTATTTAAGTAGAGTACTTGAGTACATGTACTTAGTTCCATCCTCTGCCCTAAACACATAACATGCTCATCAGTGAATGTCAGGGAAGCCAGTGCCTTCTAACCTTCTCATTCTCTCACACTGACCGGGCGACAGCCTCACTGAATTGCTTTATCAACTGTGCTGATGAAGGGACCCGAGGTCACATTCGGCTGTTGGTGTCCCATCCCTCCTGGATGGTGATGGTGATGATGATGCATAATGCCCCAGGTATACACATGCACCTTTCAAATGCAGATATAGCAGTCAGGGGTCACCCAGGGCTGAGCACTGGCCTTGAGTTTTGGATCATTTGTCCCATTTGGTCTCTGTGTTTCTTCCAGTTTTCTGGAGGCCAGAGCAGCACACTGGACTTTGTTGTTTGTCCAATTTTCCCAGGTGCAAAGTGGCCAATTCAGGTTGTCTTTTTGAGGGCATTTGTGGCCCACAGCTGACACATTCAGGGGTCATTAAGCAGGGTCCTGAGAGAGTGTTCACTGCAGCAGCACACAGGAAAAGAAGGTTACTTCCTTCAATGATATAGGTTTAGCTGAAGGTCTGTATATGCAGCAGCAGCATTATGGAGCAGTGAGGGACAGACTTGCATGATGACAGGAGAGAAAGTATTTATGTTTTTAACATTACCGGCTGATCAATACATTTTTATTTCAATAAATCAAGTCAGGTCCCACCGAGATTTGAACTCGGATCGCTGGATTCAGAGTCCAGAGTGCTAACCATTACACCATGGCACCGTCTTTTCAAGTCCATTCCCAAAATAGTCGTAACGGGAGACTTTGGGACACCCTTAATTATATAACAAGAAGTAGGGGTACAGCAGACCCCGGCCAACTTCCTCATTAGAAGTCAGCACCTTATGTGCGTACAGTAGGCTACGGGGAATGTTGACAGTGCTGCTTTCTAGCAAGCGTCAGCTGGCGACCGTGAACAGCAGGTAATGTTGGCCTGATGCAGTGTCATGATACTTAATCATTATTTAAGGGTCTGACGACAGAAAAGGGAATTAGTTTGAAATCGGAAATGTTTTGTATCGATATAGTTTTTGTATGATTGATATGCGCATGAACTTTACGCACATAAGCCTACGTGTTTAATTAATTGACAGCATCCTGGCCGCTTTCATTATATAATTAAAGCTTGTATCTCCAGTAGTTTGTCATTGTCAACCCTCCCTTCAACACGTGACGTCAGATAGTGCAGAACTAGTAAAGCTGGACTTGAGTCCTGAGAAACTAAATCATCTCCTCCAGGCTGTGTAAACAAGAGACTGACGACACCGGATCGAGAGCATGGTGCGACTTTGCTGACAGCCGGTTCATGATGTCATCCGCCATGATGATACCTCACAGACTATACTGTTACTCGCTATCACTTATTTAATTACATTCGCTAATGTTCTTTACACGACTCACTCCTGAACATGTAGATTGGCCGGAGCCGATCCTCCTTTGTCTTTTATAGCCTTCTTTGTTTTTCGGAAATAAGACTTTATTTAACTTACTCAGACCGTCCTCCCTGTCGACCTGCAATACATGTCAACACTGCAACATGTCAATCTATGCATTTTAATCTTATGTCCAATATTTACATCATTATTTTTAAACAATTAGATGAAATCTCATTCAAACGACATTTTAACATTTCTTCACTTCTTCACAAAAAAAGTAGGAGTTTGTGCTACAGATATTTAAACAACATTTTTCAGAATTGCCCCTTAACTTTACTATTATTTGTATTTTTTATTTTGCACTTAATGCATGAGTTAATATGGGCCTTACAACCAAAAAGACTATTCTAAAAGGACCGCTTCAAATATAGGACTAATATGTCCATAGTTGTCTTTATTGTCAGATAATTTAAGGGGATCTGTCCCAAAGTCTATTGCTGTTAAAGGACGTTACACCATCTTGTGGCAGGGGATGGCACACACAGCCTAGTGTGTACTGACTAAACTTAACCTGTGTGCGCGTGTTTGTGTGCGTGTGTGCGCGTGTGTGTGGCCTGCTTATAATATTACAATTCATTGTATTTTTTATTGACTCATCAATATCTCTCTATAATGATTGGACAATCTTTAAAGAATATTAAACATAATGCTTTACCTTTTTTTAAGTTATTATCAGTAGATTAACACTTGCATTTGTTGTCTTGCATAGGTCACACAGACTTTGTATAAATACTTTTAAATAAACTTAATAGCTGCTATTCTTTAGTATCTATATTTCATTATTTTGATAAATTAAAGAATTCATACAACGTCCATATGGACACATTTCATCCATTTTCTAATGAGAGAGAGAGAACTTGCCCTCAGTATGTAGGTGTACTTAAACCAAACATAAAGCTTAAAACACAATAAGACCGCATCAAAAGAATATTTATTCTCCGTTTTTTTTAATCGTTTGTACCTGGAAAGTGCATCATAGATTTTACAATAAGCAAAATTCATATTTAAGACATGAACACAACCGAGCGACATTCACACTCATCATTTTGTTTGGACAATGTGTTGCATAGGAGGAAAAGTCTCTTAAGCAAATGTATAAAAATTATTTATATTCAGATGAAAACGAGGGGAGGTCGGCATGGGCTTTGTTCCATCAGAGCAGGTGTCGTTGGTCAGTTGCCACTTTATTGCTTAACCATGGCAGCGAACTCTGCAGGGAGACAGGAAAACACAGTTAGGATCTCTAGTTTCCACCACAGAATGATGTAAGCACTCTGCAGGAGAGAAAGAGATGAGAGTCCGCACCGTCTGCGCCAATCATGCCATCACCGTCGGAGTCTCCGGCCTTCAGGAGTGCCTTGGTCTCGGCATCGGTCAGCGCGCGTGCACCTGCCTTGAAGGTCTGCAGGAACAGCCTGAAGACAGCAAACACATCTGGTGGTTAGTTCAAGGACCCCAGCTACCATTGGTTTTAGACCAAGTGCCTTACTTTATGTTGAAAAGTGTTGGGGACATAGTGGGTCAGAAGATGTTTATAACTGGTCATATATTTGTAGCCAATGTATTGGGGGAGGGGGGGGGGGGGTGTCAGTTTGAGATCAGAGTAGATCATTTTCAAGTTTGGGAAAAACCAAGGAAAAATGTCAAGACAGTTTTTTAAGTTACTGGTCAGTACATGCATGATTTTTGGTCATTTTCTATAATGAGTAAGCTGGGAGAGCATTATTTTAGTTGAGGTCAATGGACATTTATTGATTCTATGTACATAGTGAAAGTTTTTAATTTTTAATTTAACATTTCTTGGTGTAAGATGTTTTTCAGATTTTTTATGTAGGTTTGAAAAACAAATAGGGACATAATCCCCAATGTCCTCAGCATGCTTAATGTAAATTACACCTATGGCTGACTTAAAAATCCATATTATTACAATTGCTGTTGGAAGCTTTACATTCCTTCAGTCCCCAACAATACACCCATTATTTACTTGGCTTATATATATAACTTGTTATTGTTTTATGAAGCTGATGTCAGAGCATGCAACAATTGTGTTTGTGCATTACGTGTGTCTGGTGTGTGTCTTACTTCAGCTCCTCCTCCTCAATGAATCCACTGTTGTCCTGGTCAATGATGAGGAAGGCCTTCTTCAGGTCTTCTGCGGACTTGCCAGCCATACCGCATGCCTTGAAGAACTTCTTGTGGTCGAAGGAGTCAGCAGCTGGAAAACACATTTTAACATCATTAGCAGCATAAAGGCATGCTGCAGGCACCAGGACTTGTTCAGGTCGAACTTCCCAGCGTCTGAAATGAATGCAAGTCGTTACTCAGACTGCATCCACATACACAAGCTGGACAAAAAGCGACCTCCAAACACAGAGCCAAAGAGGGAGGGCTGTGATTGTTTTTGTGTGAGTGTAACTTGAGGAGTCACCTTTGCACCCTTCCAGGGCTGCAGCGACATCAGCGTCTTTAAGTAGACTTGCGAAGGCCATTTCGATCTGCAGAAATACAAAAATATATATTATTATTATTTTTATTTTTATGTATTTATTTGTATTATTATTGTTGTACTATTATTATCTCAAAATAGGCATACAATGGCTTTACAATAGTTGACTGTACGCATCATGGTTCACTGTATTACACATTATTTCAACTGTAAATGAATAACATAATAAAGAACGATCAATGTATCATTTAAACTCAACTCTTTGCATTTAATATGATGTTAACTATCCACATCGGAACACAACATAAACATAATGGAATCATTTCAGATTTCACAGGGCAACATTTTCATTCCCCTTTTTCCAGTAGTGGATTGTATTTCCAAATTCCTTTTGAGAGGCTGAGATCGACACATGTTTCCTACTGTATCTCTAGATGCTGGAATGTCTTAGCAGTAAAATCCATGTCTTCTTGCAGCTGACGCTTCCGCAAAATAATGCTCCAAAAACTCAGATGCTGCATTGCAGTGCGAACTCCACAATACAAGTAAAAAAAAAACAATGTTTTCTGAAAAATGTAAACCGAGAAGATGCTGCGACTCGGTGTTTCCCAGTTTTCTTTTCTCCTTTAATTCAAACTCACCTCGTTGATGTCTTTGCTTTGAAGAGTACAGACGAAAAAGACAGGACTTGAGTCGACTGCAGTGATCTTCCCGGTGCGCCCCGTGACCTTTTTATAGTTTTACTCCATCGAAATCTGAGGCATAAGATAACTGACACCATTGAGAAGGGGGTGGCGAAAATCCTTCCTGTAGCCAGAGCGCGGTCTATTTTAAGTTTCACAAATGAAGACGCTTAAAAGGTGCGTTTGAAGAAGTCTTTAATGTCCCCCTCAATACTAAGAATAGGACAGTGCACTGCTGAGGAGGACGAATTGAAATTGCTGCTGGCAACAAACAACTGTAAGAGGGTGGACACGGAGCATGCATGCATTGGGGCTGGAGAAACTGATACTCATCGGTTGTTTTCCCTCCTTTCGTGTTGGTTTGGAAGACACTTGCTATTGTATTTAAGAATATAGTGTACTATTTAAAATTCAAATGTATATAGGCTTGTGTCTTTGTAACATTGATATTGTACCTAATAGTTGCCCACCTCACAGCCACAATGAGCATTTCATTTGTCATAATGTATTTTCTTAGTGCAGCCATTTGTGTTTTGTCCGAATTTAATAGATAAAGAACAAAGCAGCCAACACGACTTGGCATATAAAGAGAAAAACAGCCAGTCATAAATTAGTTGGTATTGTTCAGACTAGTCAAAGTCCATGTATCACTTTGTGTTATTCTAAGAGTTTAAAATGTTTAAAAGTGCAAGAGAATGCAGGCAAAATAAAGTTGAAACCCTCCTAAAATAGTAGAAAAGAGAAGGATATTTTGAGTTGCTCATCTCGCCTTGTCTTACTGTACAATGCCGAGAATAGCTTTGACCTGCAGGTGGCAGCGCTGCCCTGTGGGCTGAGGGAGAGCAGACTGCTGTCACTATGCCTCTCTGTTTTGACCACTGAGTTGATAGTAACAAGCTCAGGGTGTCATCTGACAGGGTCAACAAATTGCTGAATTGCATTTCCCTGAGCATTCATAGCTTCCCCTTGAATCGTAGTTTGACTTAAATATAGCTGATGAACTATTGAATTATGTTATACTGAATATTTACTTTCCTTGATAAATGTTGCACATTCTAAGCACTTTACAAATCATGTGTCAAGGAACCCTCAGATAACTATAGATTTGCATCAAGCACCAGATTCAAAGGTCCTGCTGATGCATAGTGTCTGTTAATAGCCCCCCTGTTGCCACAGCACATCATGTAATCGACCACTCAGCAGTTGGTGGAGAAAAAGACCTTGGAACAGAGCAGCTAATTACACTATGTGTGACCGCTATCCATTGCAAAACCTCCCCGCATCCAGGAAGTATATGAGCGAAGCCCCAGGGCTATTCCCAATTTGTTTGCCAACTTGTAACCTTAGTCCAGTTATACCCCCCTTCTCATTAACCAATTCTCAAAACGAGTGCTGGGCAGGTCAGTTCAATAGAACCTCCCAAGAATTCAAAATCCCCAGGCGGGGTTTTTAATACACCACATTTTGACCAATACAAAGATGACTGAGATGAGACATATCAGTTTACACCAAAAGAGTATTTATTCTTGGTTTTTCACTCTTCTTCAAAAGTGTTGGACCATTTGCACAAGTCATTTTTTCAGAACATTTAACACATCTGAGCAATATGCATTCACAGTAAAACATGTGTTCCATGTTGAGAAATAATCAGCAGGCAAGTCATAAATAAGGTATAAAAAAATATTCTTTCAGCTGATGATTACTGAAATCTTGCAAGAAGTTCGCAGTTGATCGGGTCAGTGGAAAGTTATGCCTTTACCATGAGAGCAAACTCTGTGAAAGTAGAATGAAACTGGCATTAGTGGTGAAGAAAATTGAATTGGTTTCTTATTTTGTCATGGTGGTATGATTTGGACTAATTGGACCAAAATGTACCGACACTTTAGGTCTCAGCAGGTACTGGAAGTATGTGAATGGATGTTAAATATTAAATGTTCCAAGAGTCCAAGGCCAATAAGCATCAGCATAATTGTGCATGTCTCTAATGTGTCTGATTACTCAAAAGAACTCTTACCATCAACTCCAATCATGCCATCACCATCAGCGTCACCAGCGGCAAGGAAGGCCTTGGTCTCATTCTCGGTGAGAGCTCTGGCGGTAGGAGAGAAGTTCTGCAGGAACAGCCTGACAGGAGGACAAAGCAGCAGAAGTTAAAATGATGAACATCTCACACTATCTTGGTTGATTGGATGTGCATCACTGTGCAGAAAAGGTATTATAGAGCATTCTGTTGTGTTGTGAATGTTAAGGCAACATGTTGGAAGAAGTCTGTCCAATGGGACTGAGATGTAAAGTTATAAATAATTAAATAAACGTGGTCCTTTTTTGATATTGTAGCTTGGAAATGGAAAAGGACATTTCCAAGAACCCCCATTTTAAAGCCAAGCTAAAACAGAATGTGGGGAGAACGAGGTAAGCTACCACTTGTTTCTGAATTCCAGCACAGCAATTCTAGATGTGGTGCATATTTTTGGCAGCAGAGGCATGTCTTACTTCAGCTCTTCCTCCTCAATGAATCCACTCATGTCCTGGTCAATGATGGCGAAGGCTTTCTTGACCTCATCGGAAGACTTGCCAGCCATACCGCATGCCTTGAAGAATTTCTTGTGGTCGAAGGAGTCAACAGCTGGAAAACACATTTTAACATCATTAGCAGCGTAAAGGCATGCTGCAGGCAACTTCAGTTTTGATTTGATTTGATAACTATGCTTGGCAGTTTATATGTTTCATTTGCACCACAATTTACAGCACTTTTCTTTGCATGGCAATTCATAAAAAGTGAACGATGAAAATGAGGATGAATTGTGTTTTACCTGTATAATTTACTGTGTACAATATTGAGTCAATGAAGCTCACCTTTGCATCCTTCCAGAGCAGCTTTGATGTCAGCGTCCTTGAGCATGCTTGCGACGGCCATTTTTATTATTCTGAGGGAACAAAGAAGACAATGCCCAGGATGATTAAAATAATCAAAAACCCCAAACAGAAGTCAAAATGAATGCATTGCAAATATACCTCTTTAAAGCAATAACAAGTAGGCCTATAGTGTATCTAGGATATTTGTTCTGCTCTTAGGGCCTAAAATACAGAGACTTCAGAGAGGGAGGACTAAGACTCTGTTCCCTAAAGGTTTAGAGTTGATAATATATCAACATTAGCTTAAAACCATGCATTAGTTGTCAGGCTTCCAGGTAAGGCTATTCCTCATCTTGAGAAAGAAAGTTCATTAACATTGTAGTTGAAAACATCTATAGGAACATCAACTTGTTTTGGTCACAATGAATAATTACTTCAATTTTAAAAGGCTGCAACATAGCATCAACTGTTTTAGTTTTAGTTTTTAAGTACGGGCTAAAGAGCTACTCTTTGCCTCCGGATGTCAGCTCATGCCTCACTCTGTTTATCCCATCGCTGCTAGGACACTAAATAAAGGATGCTCCCACTCAGAGGCCAATTCTCAGCGAAATGAATCACTGCCAAAGTGCACTCGGGCAAACGCAGTGATGTCAAACGCGTCGATAGTTTTGGGTGTGATTATATGTTTTCATCCGGTTAAAAAAAAAGTGAAAGTAAAATAGCGCGATTATCATCCACAGACTGCGATCCATTGAAACCAAATGGCCACATTGGGCCTCCTTTTGCACTGATTGAGTCGTCCTGTGTTCCATGCGGGTTTCCTGTCTATGTTGGTTCCATTTCTCCCTACAGTGATAGTCCAAAAGGATTTCCTTGTCTCAATCCCTCTCTTCCAAGTGTAAAGTGCCAGCGGTCAGCGCGCTTCCCACTCACCTTTGGGCTGCGTTGGGGGAAGTGAAAGCCAAGGCGGAGTTGAGTGAATGCTACCGGTCTCTTTCCCTCTCTCTTATATATCCTTGAGCAACACCTTTTACAGAGTTTTGAGTCTCAGTATCACTTACCAAGATGCATGGGTTTCTAAAAAATGTGTCTACTAGTCTCGTCCTATTTTTAGTCGAACAAATGAGGATGCTACCATGTGTGCTGAGGCCTATAGCTAGACGTGTGGTAACGTGAGTGAGCCCGCTGCTCCCCGACTTCATGTTGCACTCATGTGATTTATAACCAACATTCAAGTCCCTTCTGAGAATATTAATGAAATTAATGCTTGAGAGTGGATACAGACCCTGGGTCAACCTCTAATTAGGATTGTGATAGAATCTTGAAGCCAAGTGCCACGTGACTAAGCACCAGGGACTCACTGCCAAATGAACTGCTGTTAACTTTTTTAATGAACTGAGGAAATATTAAATTCACTGCCATTACGTAATTCAACACTCTGAAAAGTATCAAAGGTGTTAAGGACTGAATATGCATTGCCATCAAAAGCCCTATTAATATGTATCCCCTTATGATTAACAAATTCTCCTTATTATACTTTATATGATATATGTTGATTCTGATTACTGTAGTATCAGCGAGATGTTCCAATAAATGTATATATTTGCTTCTATCCACCATCATTGAGCTTATTATTACATAATCATTGTATCTTTTATATCTGATACTCATGCCTGAGTGGTGTGTCTGCTAAGTGAATACGTGAATTCACTTAATTCCCCCTTTATCTCCTTTATTAGAAGCCTCTTCTCAGTTTTATCAGGAGGTGATTATAAATTGGTGGAGTCAGGCTCCAGATTATTGCATCCAAAGAGCTGGAGTTGCAAATACCTCCCCTGAGGTGATCTCGGGAGATAGATATGTATCTGTGACATTAACTAACTGTCCTTAAAGTATACATGCTGCCATAGATTTACAAGTGGTTAATCTGAACGACGCATGAAGTGAGTCGAGTTTCAGGCAAACAGCAGCCAAGCCCTTGAGATCCTGTCCTTAGTAGGCAATGCACCAATCATTCAGACTATTTTCTGTGTGCAGCATGATTGCTTGCGTGAACAAGTTAGCAATATGTTGACAACTCATTTCACTCTGACGTGCTGCCAAGGCATATAAATAACTTTGTTAATGCAGATACATAATTTCCTTCTTTGTGTTTTGTCAGCAACTTTCAACTGATTAATGTGTTTGTGTGGCCTTTATGACCTCTTTATGAAATGCTAACCCTAAACTGTAAATCATTTCAGTTATTTAAACCTCAAACACTCATCCCAGTCATCTTGGTAGTGTAAAAACAAGAAAAATGCAATAAATCACCGTAATTTCAAACGAGAACCCAAAAATGCCATAATTATTGTCTATATTTTTACCTGAATCCGTCCAGCAGAAGGCAGCAATGATCTTAAGAAAATGTGGATATTTCATTTTTTTGGGGAAGGGGGGGGGGCTTAACATACTCTGCAGCAGTGAATCAAATTAGGCTTTTTTCAAAGACACATTTTTGAAAAGTGTTACAAATAGATGGGTAAGTTCTTTTCATGAGTCCCAGTGGGAGTTACATGAATATCATTTGCTTTTTATTACATTACCAAGTCAAAATGTCTTCGATGGAAAAAGTCCCATGGGTTTCCCTTATCAGAATTATGCCAGTGGCTCTATTGAAAACCTCCATCAGTGCAGTGTGAGTGGGATAACTGCGTCAACGGTCACTCACCATACTCTAAGGCTATAGAATGGGTTTGTCTAAAATCTATTATGGTTTATCATATGTTAATGTTGTTCATCCCTTTCTTTTCTCATAAATGTTTTCAGCGTGATGCAGATACTTTATAATCAAGATTAAAATAATTGAAACCCCTCCATACCTTAAGTGTTTATGGCTTTCAGAGACACTTTACATTGCAGGCATAAGAAAAAAGCAGACACAGTGATACCACATGTTAAACACATTTATTAAATCATTCCAGGTACCTGATTGAAAACACACATACACACACATCTAATCTACCTTAAACTTTCTGTCCACCACACATGTTTTGCATAATTGTATCACATCAATAGGAAGAGCAGCAGGCAGGTAAAGAACATCCAAGGTTTCTTTGCATCAAACAATATAGAAAATCTGAATATCTAAGAAGAGAACTGTTATCTTAAAATAGGGAAAGACAGTTGTGGTCAAAGATGTTGATTTCATTTAATTCAGCATTTCACAGAACTCTGTGGAAGAGAAAAAACAAATTCAGTCAGATATTTTTTAACCACAACAGTGATCTCCAGGCTAAAAGTCATGAATGAAACACATTCACGATGACTAAACAAAGAACAAGTTAGTTGGTGCATTCTTTTTTATGTTCTTGTATGTGCTATTTATAGACTGCAAGTTCAGCACTAGGTAATGGACAGCTCCCATGCACATACGGCTTCTTTGTCTGATGTGCTTTCTAAAAGGTTTTACATGCACCCACCTTCCATCCCAATCTTGCCATCACCATCCTTATCGCCTGCACTCATCAGAGTCTTGGTCTCAGACACAGTCAGCTCCCTCGCTCCCGGAGAGAAATTCTGGAGGAACAGTCTGTTTGGTGCACATACAACATAAGCGATATGTTCAGACTTATATCATCAGACTGTATTGAATCACGGCATCATAGACTGTACTTATGCAATTTATTTTCCCTCTAGGCTTTGCTGAGCCTTTTCAATCCCCCTCCTCTTAACTCATTCACTCACCAGCCCTCCCCCTCAGGTATTACTGAATGCATTCACTGGGAATGCCGCTCCATTCATACAGTGACCTCTGCCTTTGGGCAATCACAAGGGAGTGAAACATAGATGTAGGACACACGCACATACACTGTATCTTAACACTAGCCCTTAAATTACACACCCGCCCACACATATACAGACACATTATCCTTACTTGAGCTCCTCCTCCTCAATGTATCCACTCTTGTCTTGGTCCAGGACTATAAACACTTTTCTTCCCTCAGTCTCGGATGAGCCAGTTAGTCCTACTTGCTCAAAGAATGACTTGAAGTTAAATGTGCCCGGAGCTGCATATGCAAAGAGGGGGATGAAAAGAGCAAAAGAGACCCACATATGTGAGAGTGAGAGGTCAATCATAGAGCAGCAAGAAAGCAAGAGTGGTGAGGGACTGAATGAAATGTCGCGTTAACTCATACGCTCAGATGACTTTCATTCTTCAGCCAATGAAATGTACCAATAGACACCCTGTAGCGCATCACTGTCTTATACCATTACAGGCTATGTCATTGTGCCATCGGAGCAGTCAAAGCACACCGGATATGCCCATGGGTCTAATGAAAACCTAAATGTTAAAAGCCCTTTATTTAACAAGCCGCTCAGAGTGGACACTTTCATCTATGATGAGTTACCTTCAAGTACTTCAAGATGATTTGCTGAATAAGACTTGTAGCCCTAGAAATCCTAAGATTCACATTCAGAGTTAAAAAGGAATAGCGTTGTAATTAATAAGGGTATATATAAAACAAATAAAGTACCCCTAACCTTAAGGTGATATGTCTGCTATCATCACTTTCATAAAAGACCATTTAGTTTCCATCAATTCTTAAAATAGATCATGGAAATACCTCCTTTTATTGATACATGCAAACTAAATTGCATAAAGTTTACATTTTACTTTGCCTGAATCATTGCTAACGGGGTGATTCTCTTGATTAAAGAGCATAGAAGCACTGGCATTTGATTTCCTTCTGAGAGGTTGAGCTGTGTGTGCCTTGTCATGCAAACATAATTGTGAGAGATAAATGATTAAGTGCTTTGGGAGGTGGGGGCTGTATAGCTTGTGTGATTGTGTCCTCTCTGTGTAAATGCTAAACGTAAACACTGTGGTATCTGGGTGGTAACTGGTCTCCTGCCACAAGGCTGCCTGGTTACCTGCCCCCACTGTGGAAACCCATCAGCTCTTCCTAGTGGGACTGGGATTAACATTTCCTGTCTGTATCTCTCTGCATATGTGTGTGCATGTATAAACACTTCTTGTAAAGTATGTGTTCTTGTATTAATCGGATGCATGTTAAGTGTGTGCCTCCCTCCGTGTGAGCCTGTGTGTGTGTCGTCTGACTCACCTTGACAAGCCTGGATCGCCGCCTTGACGTTCTCGTTGCTCAGCATCCCTGCAAATGCCATGTTTCTCTGTAGCTGCCTCAGGGGTGCAAACAAACACGCACGATGGAGAAAATGCAAAGTGACAGTAAATGAGACTTGTGCAGGTGTTTACTGCTGTCAGAACACAGTCACATAAAACTTGTGGATGGATTAAGGATAATAATTCCTCATCAAGTTGTGCCTTTTATTAGTAGGGCTTATTACCAGAAGCTATTACTCAGACATATATTTCTTCACATGATAAGGTATGAATCACAATTGAATTGCCTGATGATCCAAGCTATGTTTCACAAAATGAATAAGAAAGTTGTTGCAACTTGAAGGAGAAAACACAAATAGGGCAAAGCCAAAAAATCAATATGCTTCAAGGCACAAGACACATACGAAACTGTCACTTATCATCACTCAAACATTGTCGTGCACATGAATTTGCAAAAAAGCTTGGTACTCACCGTGCTTCGGGTTAGGTTTTAACGTTCTGATCCTAGGATGCACAGATTTCTGCTTCTCTTGCTTTGTGCGTGTAAGCCAGCAACACTCTCTTGCAGCTTTGTGATCCGGAGTGCAAGAAGCAACCTGACGTATCTGTCTTCAAACCCAGGGAGATTTCCCCCCACGCCACAGAAAGCCTCCTCCTCCTTCATCAGTTAATCAGAGCATATGATTTTTTACTCAAATTGTTGTGCAAACTTGCGGGCATAAAAAGTAGTACAAAAAATGTATATTGCAATCGGATAACCCTTAATATATGTATTTTTACTGGTGCAAATGTTTCATTTCTACTTTCTACTAAAACAGCTGTTATTATTGCTCATATTCATATTCATAATGAAGTAATAATTGTTTCAGTCCATCAGATAACTGTGATAGTTATAAATCAGCTATGTTTATTTATTGTCATTATTAATTCTGTTATTTCAAAATAACTAAATGTAATAAAGACACTGTATAAACTCCAATGCAACTGTCAAATTGAAGGTCTTTTTTTATTTCCCCCCTTTTTTTTGTTTTGTTTGTATTTCAATTCATTGTTCAGCCATTATAACCTTGA